AACTAGTAAAGTTCCTTTTGAACTGTTGGTGTCATATTCTAGAGGGTGGGAGTTGGCAATCAAGCCTGCACATTACTCAGAAATAAGGCTTACCATGTTCAAAGGGCTAAGAAGTGGCTTGGACTGCATTTATATCTTTAACTAAAAAAGGACAGATACCCTCTTTACATTTAAAGAAACAGAGAGAACAGGCAGAAAAAAACTATTGTGCAGGGTGAGCAAGGAAATTGTAAGATTACTATTTTTCTAACCAGCCTCTGAAGCTGTGCCTTTAACACAGTAACCCAGTTCTCATGATTAGCTGGGCTACAGGTTGTAGAGTGTGATGTACAAACCTGAACCAGGTTCAAGTCCAGGTTCCCTCATGAAATGAGGAGAGTTGGTGTGGGGGGGCAGTGGTCTTCCTTGTCCTTTGCACATTTGTGAGTTCATTCGTTGCAAGCTGCCCTAAAAATCTCAGTTGTTGAGTTCGTCAGAACAAATCACACAGGGCTGGCTGCAGTCAACAGGCCCCGCTCCTCAGTGGTCCTTCCTCTTCCTCTGTGGTCACCAGCTGCCACCACTTCCTCTCATCATTGCTAGTTTGGTTCCTTGATAAGCAGAGAACTGGTGAAGACACAGGCAGTGTCACTTAGTGCTGCTCCTCCCCTTCACCACCAGAACAAGAGGCAGGCGCATAAGTGGGTTCCAGTAGAGAAGAAGAGATCTTGGCTGGGGGAATCAGTTGAAGTATGGGCCTTCAGCAGTTGCCCAGTCATGCTTACCTTTGACACTGGCCATGTGACACAGGAATGTACCAAGTTGTGATTTATTCATCCCCCTTGCCATCAATTAACATCCCTGTAGATGGTGCGGGACTGAGCTCAGATATTTCTGCAGTGTTAGAGGGAACGGGAAATGATTCTTTAAAAGGGCTTATTATACCTCAAGCATTCCCTGCTATGGAAATAAAATTGATAGGGGGTTTGTTTTGGTTTTTTTTTTTTTTTTGCACTGCTGATGAGTACATCAGAGATAAGTCACACGAAGTAGTATGATTACAACTGTTCATACAACACTGTCCTTACTAAAAGGAAATTCAGCTTAAATTTCCTCTTTTGGTGTAAGGGATATTTAGAAATATGGACCTCTCTAAGCTAACACAATACCCTGCTGCATTCAACCCAGGAGGGGGCTAACAGCGACTATTAGCCATGCTGGTTGTGTGCTACATCTGCTATCCGAAGTGGTACGCCAGCGTGCACCAGTCACTGAAGAGCTCGGGAGGGCAGAGGTCTCGTGCCCATTCTACTTGAGGGATCCTGTGGGCAGCTGATTTGCCCCCCGTGAATGGAGTGCTAGACTCGATGGACCACTGGGCTGATCCAGCATTGGAATCTTCTTACATTCTAATGAGGACTCGGCCCACTCCATGTGGCCAGAATGAAAGGAACCTGAAGATCTTCCCCAAAGAACCTCCTCTGAGCTCCCACACTAAATGCAGTAAGGCGGTGAGCTATGAGGAAGAAAGCGTTTTGGTAGTGACTGCCATTTATGGATGAGCCTTTCCAGAGATCTTGCCTGGTGCCATATCTGTGGTCCTTCCAGAGCCAAGTGAAGACTTATCTGCTCATTCAGACCTTTTAAGTAACCGGTTTCCTAATCTGGGAGCCTCTGGTTTTTAAATCAGTTTTCCTTGTTAGTCTTTGATAATTCTTACTGCTTGATACTATGTTTTAATGTTGTTTTGGAGCTGCTCAGAGAACTTGTGTTATGGGACAGCCCTATCAATACACCAAGTAAATAAATATGGAATATGGTGCAGGGGAAGAATGCTTGACTGCATAAAATACTGAGCAGGAGCACATTTTCCTGCAGGACCACTGTCTGCCCAATGCCTTGACACAGATGTTGCAGGCAGAAGAGATTACTGACCCCCCCATGCAGCCTGCCCCACAAATGGTCCGGAGTTTGGGGTACATTCATATGGCTGCAGGGGTGGGAGGACACAGAGCTCCACTTGTTGGAACTTAAGTGTCCTGACCTGCCATACAGAAATCTCCACCACCCACCCTTTATGAATGAGTGCTCTGTCAGACTGTAGTCAGCTTTCAAACTCAGTTGCAGATTCTTCATATATCAAATTTGAATATCTTCAAATATTCTTCATATTTGCTATATGATCCAGTACCCAAAGCTATCTGCAAGGTTCACCATATGATAAAAGAAAATAGCAAAGCATTACCATACTTTGAAAACCCTGTTTCTTAATCCCCAAAGCATATATATTTTTCTAAAATCAAGAATTTGATCCCATCTTAGGGAAGATGCAAGAATCAACCAAAAACTTTTGTCTGATTGAATGCTCTTTTGCATTTTTAGAAGGGATATAGATCTATATATGACTTTCTTATAATGTCACTAACCACATTATAACCAGGGACATACATGGAATCGGAACAAGCTACATGCCCAGACTACCCTGGGAGCAACAGGGAAGGCAAAACTTGTCATGTGTAAAGCAAGTCTAAGCATACAAGATTGGCTGAAAAACTGCACCGGCTGCAAATGAACCAAAATGCAAAGAGCCAAACTCACAGTCAGCAGTATATTGGCCATGCTTTCTTGGGGATGAGGGGTCATGTAGTCGAACATATTTTGAGGGCTCCAAGTTGAGAAAAGTTGCATTATTTGGAGTGGTGGTAAGAGAAATTTTATTCAGTTTGTGAAAGACCACCTCCTCATGCATATCCAGGTGCAAATTGTTTAGTTATCAGAGGCCTACTAATTTGATGGGCACTTGCGACAGTGCTTTTTCTCTGTTGTAGCACTCCTACTTTTGCCCTCCCTCCCTGAGGTTAGACTTCTCTCTTATTTGTTAGACTGTGTTCCCTTGTGCTTTTAACTGTTAATACTATTCTCAGTGTTTCATGCACTACATTCTTTTCTCCAGTTTTATTTACCTTTATGAGGTATTGTTTCACTTTTATTTCATTTCATCTAAAATTGTATGCCAAACAGAAGAGTGGGCAATTCATAAATATATTAAATATTTCTATCTTGTAGTATACTTAAAAGCTTAAGTTTGGTGGTTAGAAGCAACATTTTGCAAAGGATACTCATGATTGTAACTATAGCCCACTTCTGCTTCTGAAGAACTATAAGCATTGGGGGAAATATAATTTACAAAGTGTTGCACCCTCCTTTTATCCCGCTGTCTTGGCTGGAAGCTTTGGGGTGAAATTATGTTCCTCAGTTTAAAATCCTAGAAATGCATTCTCTATTTTGATAGGCTGCATTTCTCTGATTTCCAGGGCCACTGCAGACAGGTAAAGAAGACATATAATGCCCACGTGTGCCCTCTTCTAGGGAGTTTAGTTACCCGTTGCTTTTTTTAAATAATGCATGTATTAGAACAATGATCTTTTGAGCATGCAAGAAGCAAGAGCGAAGGTTGGATTTAGGCTCTGATTTGTAATTGATTTTTATTATATTAAAGGATTAGCAAAACATATACAAATGTCATTTACTACAATCTATCTATTAAAGGCAAAAGTTCTTTCAGATAATAGGAAATCTGTTTTTATGACAACTGTCATAATAGGCAGGGAGTAGGAAGTAACTTCAGCCAGTCAAAAAAGTTTCTGATCAAGACTGTAGCCCAGATTGGAACAAATTTTACCTCAAATACACTTGGTTCGTAAAAGGTTTGGTGGGTTTTGTTCGTGCTTTAACTATTGTTCAACCCCAAAGGACACACGCTCTTTTAAGAGAACAAAGGGATAGGGGGGATGAAGGCAATGAAGCTCAACCAGTAGAACCTGTCTTTTCCAAAGTTAAATTTGGACACTATTAAAACCTAACTTCCACACATCTTAGTATCTGCAAGGACAGTCGTGAAGGTTGAAATCCATCTCAAAGTGCAAGGACACAAACAGGACACTTTGCTCTGAGACATAATCAAAATTCTCCCCTGCAATGAAATGGCAGTCTGCATTACAGACTTGGGCTCAGGCAGCCCAAAAAGGAAGGAACTGTAGGGATGCTTCATTTTAAGATAGTGGTTTTAAGACTGTTATCCATACATCTGGACGTGACACATGGTCAGAAGAACTCTTGGGCCAAAGCAAAACAAACTGTCACTTAGCAGTCTCCATGGGGCTGATTTGCTTGCTGGAAGGAAAGAAGATGGACAGCATTAATAAGCTTTGTTTTAATGCGCAGAGCAAGCAGTGAGGACAACAGCTACAGAAGAAGTCCTCGGCATTGGAGATGGCAGCATTGCAGATTCTGTCCCTGCCCTCTGCTCTGACATCCTCTGCAGATTAGTGTATTGGGCATCTTCCACCAGGAGATTCAAAGGTGGGTGAAGAAGGGGATCATGTAAAAACAGCTTTAAAATTTTTTAATTGAATAAAAATTGCAAGAACTAGGAGCTCATCTACCATCTGGCCAGAGCAATATGTCATATGCAGGCAAAAGGAGACAACAATCTGGCTCACACTATAGAACTGAAAGGTACTTTCCATACTTTGAGAAAGGGACAAAGTTAAAATGATGTAAAGATCCATATGGCCCTCCCACGATACCCAGCAAAGCAGTCTGACTCGTGTGCACATAGCCAAAGGGGATGAAAGCACAGACAGACGGGCAGAGACAGGCATTCTTCCCCCCACCACCCCAGTCAACAGTTCCAAAGGAAAATATCCTAACCATCTTGCCAAGGTGCTGACAAGGAGATATTTGTGGCAGTCCAACCTGGATTGCTGATGCTTTGTGCAGGGACAGAAGAGGGAGATGCAGTGAGCAGTGCTGCCCCAGCCTGTGGATGTCACAAGATGCTGACAGGAGCAAGGCAAGGGGATGAGCCACTGCACAAGCCCCCTCCCCACCATAATGCGCTACTTGTGCGGGAGAGAGTCAAGGCAGAGGGTCCTGTGCATGCTCGTGCCACGTCTAGTCTCTTCAGATTAGGCGGTGGGATGTGTTATGATGCTTCTCAGTAGCACCAAGCATGTGCACTAGGGATGCGTGCACAGCCTGAGGTCATCGGAGGAAGGCTCCTCATTTGAAGGGCCCAATTCAGTGGATTCCAAGCTACGTTTGCACCCCTTCTGCAGCTTGAGCACGTTCTTCTGCTCAAAGGCTTGCCTGCAGTGAGAGCCCACATAAGGCTCCTTCTTGTTGTGGATCTCCAAATGGATAGCGAGGCTTTGGCTGAACCAGAAGCTTTTCTCACACCTCCGGCAAGGGTAGGGTCTCTCTCGGCTGTGTATTCTCTTGTGCCTGCTGAGATTCGAACTCACATTGCAGCAGAACTCACACTCGGAACATTTGAACGGCTTTTCTCCTGTGTGAATTTGCATGTGAACTTTGAGGGACTGCACAGCATAGAAGCTTTTCTCACACTGTGTGCATGGAAAGCGTCTGCTCCCACTGTGTTTTTTCTCATGAGTCAAAAGATGTCTTTGGCTTCTAAAGGATTTCCAACACTGATTGCACACAAACTTAGCCTGTGCTTTTTCGGACTGATGCTGGCTACCAGCCGCCTTTTCCTTGGGAGAATGTGCTATATAGGGTTCAGCACAGTCTCTCCCATCTTCACCACTTTGGGGAAGAGGTCTTCCTGCCGTCCCTGACAGCACTGGCTGTACTTCTTGCTGCTGCCCAGTGGCTGCTGCCTCCAAGTTCTGCTGAGCTGCAGCCTGGAGTTCATTTGTGACTTGCGTTCTTCCACTGCCCTTCGTTTCAGGCATTGTAAGCATTTCTTTCTCAGCGATGTCAAGAGCCACGCAGTTATCTATCCTGCAGGTCTGAAAGTCAGAAATCCCTCTCAGTTCCCTCCCCGGTCCTTCCTGTGGCTCGCTTTGCTGTTGGTCACAAGTCACGCTCCCTTGTACAGCGCCCTCAATAGCCTCCATTTTGTATTCCCTCAGAAAACATTTCTGGGATGGTGAACTGAGGCAAGGGCTGCTTGGCTGACAATTCTTTGGTGCACTTCTAAAGAAACTGGAGGAAACAGCTGTATGCGAGTCCTTTTGGGGAGCAGCACAAGTATTTAGTTTCCTGCAGGTCTTGGAGTTTTGGGATTTATTTCTCAGTGACATCTCAGTTCCCTCCTGCTGACAGAAGCAAGATTTAGTCTGCTTTCCAGCCAGCTGCATCTCCCTCTTAGATTTTCTCTTTGACATGGCCTGTGATCTCAACTTCCAAATGACACAGGCATTTTCCTTCTTGTGATTCTTTTTGGAATGTTTCCTTAGCTGAATCTGCTCACGGATGCACTGTTTGTCTTGTCCATAACATGGAAAAATGGAGCCCTTTCTTCTTAGCTTTCTCTCTGATGTTACTCCCTGGCTGACAGAGGCTTCTACTTTCCTGAGTTTTGGCAGAACATTTCCTTTGGATTTTCTGGTTAGTTCAGCTTCAACATCAATATGCATTTCTCCCTGCTCAGAACCCTCAGGAACTGCAGTATCGGTATCAGATCCTTTGCCTAATATCACTGGAGGCTTTGATTTTTCCTCCACAATGTCCCATAAAACATTATTGGATGCTGTCAGTGGATCAACATTTACAAGTGACTCTTCTTGAATCTTTCCCTCAGGTGAGATGCCTTTTGTAGACTTGGAAAATGCATGGTTTGCCTCAGCCACAATGGGCTGTTTATAGCATTTCTTTTTCAGGTGAATTTTCTCATGTCTGTTCAAATGCCACTTTTCAATGAAACATTTTCCACACACAGTACATTTAAAAGGCCTTTTCCTCAAGTGAACCCCCTGTTGGTTTACCTCAGTCACAATGGGCTGCGTACGACATTTTTCTTCTAGGTGGGTTTTCTCATGCCTCTTCAAATGCCATGCCTGAATGAAAGTTTTTCCACACATAGCACATTTGAAGGGTCTTTTCCTCAAATGAACCCCCTGTTGGTTTATCTCAGCCACAATGAGCTGTTTATGGGATTTTTCTTTCAGGTGGGTTCTCTCATGCCTCTTCAAAGACCACGTCTGAATGAAAGTTTTTCCACAAGTAGCACATCTGAAGGGTTTTTGCCCTGTATGGGTATTTTGATGCCTGGAGAGAGAATAGTTATCCTCAAAGCGGTCTCCACATTTAAGGCATACACACGGTAATTTTCTTTTGTGCCCATGCTTGAGGGAGGAGGTGTGATTTTTTGCGGTCGTTTTTTTGTTAGAAACGGAGCATTTTGGGAGCTTTCTTCTCCCATGGGTTTTCTGGTGAAAAGTAAGATGGTTCTTCCGAGAGAAGCTTTTCCCACATTCCGAACACTGATTATGCTTCTCTTTCCTATGAATTTTCACATGATTAGAAAATGAACCCTTTGTTCTCATGCACTTTCCACAGTATTGACATTTAAAGGGCTTGTCCTCCGTGTCTATTTTTGGACGCCCACCAACACACGACCTGCGAGTCATGGTGCATGCACGGTTAAGGCCCCTGTGAGACTTCAGGCCTGTGTGGACTGCCTCAGGTACAGGGAGCTGCCTCTTCATCTTCAAGTTTCTGACGTGCTTGATACGCATAAAGGGTTTTTGTCTTGTGTGGTTTGCCTGGTGTCGGATAAGGTGGTGTTTTCTAATGAAACTTTCTGCACATTCATTACATTTATAGGGTTTCTGCCCTGTGTGGAGTTTCTCATGATTGGAAAGCGCAGCATTTGTACTCAACAATTTCTCACAGTATCGGCATTTGTAGAGTTTTCTCCCTTTCCAACTTTTTGAGCGCTGAGTGAAGCAAAAGCTGAGAGCAATGGGTTTCCTACCAATTCGACCTTTAGAGGAAAGTTCTGTCTTGTGGGAGACGCCAGAACTGGAGGGGGGACTCTTTGCACTCAATCTTTTCACCCTCTTGGAAAGTTTGCAGGCTGCCTGCTTCTTATGATTTGACTCATGTGTCAGCCAACTTTGCTTATGATGGAAGCTTTTCTTGCACTGGGAGCATTTATAGGCCCTTTCTTCCCTGTGGATTCTCTCATGGTCAACAAGCAAGCATTTAGACCGCATGCATTTCCCACAGAACTGGCATTTGTAGAGACTTATCTCAGCTTCCTCATGTTTGGCAGGATCAATGTCCACTGGAGTAGTTTTCTCACCACCGGCAGCTTCAGGTTTCTTTTCATCAAGAATTTTAGGTGAATTTTCCACCCTTGCTTTCTTCTCAACCTTAGGAGGGTTAGCAGGTGCACCCTTAGAGTGGTTATCACATGGTGGCCTTGTGTGGATTTTCTGGTGTCTGGTGAGATGATCCTTTCGAATGAAGCTTTTCCCACATTCAAGACATTTATGGGGCCGCGCTAGTGTGTGGCTCCTTTGATGGAGTAGCAGGTGGTTCTTCACCGCGTAAGACCTCTTGCACACAGGACATTGAAAGGACCCCTTTTTGGGGTGACTTTTTTTATACTTCACAGCACCACCAGGATGTTTATAACCCCGCTCTCCTGCATGGCTTCTCTGATGACTAGCAAGGACTTTTAGGGATGTGAACCTTTCTCCACAGGAAAAGCATTTATAGGTCTTCTCCCTAGAGTGTATTCTCTGGTGATTGGAAAGGGATAATTTTGACTTGAAGGCCTGACCACAGTCAGGACAAGAGTTTGGGAGTGCCTCTCCTACAGCCATCTCTTTGGTTGTACTCTCACTGCCATGACCAGCTTCTGTCAAATTGCTCTTTATCTTGCCTACCTGACTTCGTGGAAGTTTCTTCAACTGAGGCCCAACCCTGCAGACCTCTCTTGACTTCAGACTGTGGCATCCAGTCCCCCTAGAACTGTCTGATAAGTTCCTGTGAAGAATTATCAGCCTACGCCCTCTACGCTGAGGTTTCTCTTCTTCAGCTTCACTCTCCTGTTCAGCATCTACAAGCAACAAAAAGGGAGGAAAAGATTCAATGGCAGATTATTCGAGCAGCAAAAGTGCTCAAAGGACAAGAGCTCAAAGGGGAGGAAAGCAGTAAAAGAGGCGAGCTCAAAGGGGAGGAAATCCTTAAGAAGAGTCCTGCCAGATCAGACCAGAGGCCCATCTTGCTCAACTCCCAATTCCCCATGGTAGTCAACTAGATGCTCACAGTAACTCCACAAGCAGGATGTGTGAGCAAGAACAGCCTTCTGCTGCTTCTCCCAGAAACTGGTCATCAGAGATCTGGGAGAAACCACTTGCACTGTGCCTAGGCGCCTCCCTACCAATTTACCTACCATCTTTTTAAAGTACTAAGAAATAGCTATTAAACCCAAAAAAGAGTTAAGAAAAACAAATAAATGAAAACAGTGCAAGATCCTTTTCCAATACATTACTGTATCACATACGTATAACACAGATATAGTTATACATACATGGTAAAATACATAACTGTTAGTTTATGGTATTCTTTAGCAAGGGCTTACCCAGTTTGGATGGCTTGAAAGGGGGATTGGACAGATGCATGGAGGAAAAGGTTATCAATGGGTATTAGTCCTCCTGGCTATGTGCTGCCTCCGTTATCAGAGGCAGTACGGCTGTGCATGCCAGTTCTTGGGCAACTTGTGCAGGAGGGCACCATTTCACTTATTCTTGCATGGGGGACTAGTGGGCCACTGGTGAACAGAAGGTTGCACTAGATGGACCACAGGAAGCCATGCTGGATCAGACTCTTACATTCTGAGTGACCATATCGCCCAGTTTAATTTTGGTAGCGTGAGTCCTCAAGAGTTTTAAGATTTTTACAAACGTTGCATTTTAACGTATTCTCTTTATAGAGTGATTAGAGATATTTCTAAAGTATGGTAAGCAGTACGTACATTTATCGATTATGTAAATGCATATTAAAGGATCCTGTTCAGTGTTTACTAATTTGTTGTTCCCTAATTATGTTTCTGGTTTAGCTCTCTTCTAAACCAACAACTATCTTCACATCTTGAGGCAGTCTGTTCCAAGCATTAATGATGAGTTAAATGAAATAGCACTTCCTTTCATCTGTTCTGTCTTTTGCCAGCCAATTTCACTAGTTAACTCGCAAGGTCTAAGAAAAGGAGAGAAAAATTTTTCTATCAATTTTCTTCACTCCTTGATAAAATAATTTTGTAAATCTGTATCATATCTGCCCAATTATAGTGCAATTCTATGTGTGCCTTCATAGAAGAAAGTGTCACTAAAATCAGTGACTCTTACTTATAGAATTTTGGTTGCACTTTTCTTGTCCACCTTTTTCCGGTTCTGCAATATCCTTTTTCGGGGAAAAGCAACTAAACTATTATATACGATTTCAGATTTGGCTGCACTCTACAAAATTTGTATAAATAATTCAAAATGAACTATGCAAGAGACTGAAACATGGTCAGACTTGTAAACCCTTTGCAAGGCCAAACCATAAGGAATTTGATTCAGAATCTGGTATACTATTTTTTAAAAATCCTCCTCAGCATTTAATCATAATGAAGCAGTATGAAGAGGCATCCTTCTGGTTCAAACCTGGGCTCAACAGAACTGCCCAGGCCTCTGAGGTAAGCTCTTGTTTCCAGTGGAAGAGGCATTTGCCAAATAACAACTTTCACAAGACCTTCCTGATAAGTAGGTTTTGGCCTAGCTAGCATGATTTTCCTAGCAATGTCACTGGACAAAGGCAAAAACAGCTCACTGCCAATTTGCCTTTCCAGCAAAAACTAGTTTCCTAGGTAGCTCATAATGCATTCTTTTACATCAGCCATTACAATACATAGAACAGCTGCGTAAATTTTAAAAAACCTTCCACTCTTAACTACCACAAAAAGCTTGAGCAAATGGAAGAGGCTTCCAAGTCAAAAACCTAAAAAATAGGAAAGCAACTGCCTGCCTGATGAACAAGCCTGGGAAGGGGTCTCCTGAAATTATGATCTCCCCCGGGGCATCTGCTTGACCACCCTGCCAACAGAATGCTGGACTGAACAGGGCTTTGGAGCTCTTATGTTCTGACGACTCCAGCTGCCAGCGCTAAAGAGGCCCTGTTCACAATACCCATGCTGCCACCTTTTTTGGAACGTGTGGGGCATGCAAAACGGGGCTTCAGCAGATCTTAACACATGGGCAGGTTGGAACACATTGCAACTCAAGACTCCAGGAAGGACCTCCTTGGTGGCTCATCTCAGGCTTTGGAGCTCCCTGGCCAGGGAGGTTAAGCTGTTCCCTCCCTCTTTCTGTTTTTATGTAAAAGCTCTTTAGCTTGTAGGCTGGTCTGTTTTATAATTGCATTCTTAACTGCCCTTTTCATTTATTTCATGAATGTTTTATTTTACATTTTGGGTTTTATTATTGTCATGTGCCTCGAGTGCCATTTCTTTGGTAGAAAAGCAGTGTGTAAGTCAAATAAATAAAAATGACATACATGTCAGGCATCCATCCCATTAAGACTTGAGTAGTTACCCTGGAAGTACCTGGTTGCATAGCTATACACTGAGGTAGTATGTTGAGTCACCTTTACTAATTTAGAGAAGTTTGAGCCTGCGACTGGATGGGTGATGGGTGACCTCTGATGTGGAAGCAGAGCAGGGGGTTGGCCCCGAAAAATTACCCTTGATATTGTACAAGCTGATGAGCTGGTGTTGCTTCACATTAATTCTTACCTTTCCATTGTGCAGTGAAGTCAGGACACTGCCATAATGAATTGGACCAGGTGCAGCATGGAACAGTCTTGGGAGCTGAATGCTGACCCTCCATGGCCTTGAAATGGTGGGATTTTGATGGAACTTAACGACTACCTTCACTGAAGCCTTTTAAACCCAGACTTTTTGCAAACAGTTCTGACCTGAGTCTGTAGAGTCTGAACTGGGGTAGGTCACAGGACTTCGATACCGATCCCACCATGTCCCTCTCTTCGGCAATCTCTTCAGTGTTGGCTTGACGGGGCTGTCATCCGCACTTTCATCAGAGCTCTGAAGATCTGGCACCCAAGCCTCTTCCCCTCGGTCCAAGCGGCTGAGCAGATCAGAGGTGTGAGCAGGGAACCCTCCTGCAATAATAGGAAGTCGCAGGTTAAAGGAATATATGGGAGAGAGCTGGCCTAGTATAGTGCCAAAGACCGAGCTACGAATTGGGAAATTCTTAGTTTAAATCTCACAACTGCCATTAATTTATGAACTGGACAAGGCTGCTCTTTTAAGCTTGGTACTCCCTCAATCTGCAATATGGCAGATTGAGGGAGTACCTTACAGGGGTTGTTGTAAAGATTACAACTAATCACATGCACTTTATCACATTAAGTTATATCAGTAGTTTTACCTCAGAAGATGCCTGGGAGGGGAGGGGAGGGGAGGGGAGGGGACACAAGCAGAAGGGAAACTTTGGCTGGGGTTACAGCCAATGTTGTAATAAATGAGAGATAAGTGTAGGGAAGGGGGAAGAGAGTTCCCTCAGATTTGTGAAAATAATGAATACAGAAGACTGAGGAAAATTTCATCTCACATTTCCCAGGTGCACTCAACTTGTGGCCCTCCGGATGTTTTGGCCTATAACTTCCCTCAGCCCCATCCAGTATAGGCAACAGTGAGGCATGATGGAAGCTGCAGATCAAAATGTCTGGAGAGTCTTATCTTGCCCACTCCTGGACAGGAAAATGCTGACTGTGTGCAGCTTTGCACTCCTGAGCATGCCTCCCTGGGTGGCACAGAAGGAACATAGCAACTTGCCCTGCTTCAAGTTGGACCACTGGTCCATCAAGCTTAACATCGCCCAGTTCACACCAACTGGCAACAGCAACCCAAGAGTTCGGGCAGTGGCCTTAAGCAGCCCATCTGGTGATCTGAGGGCTGAACCTCAGGCCTGCTACATGCAAAACCAATCCTCTAAACACCAAGCAACTGTTCTACCAAGTAAGGATGCGGGCAGAAAAGGCAGACAGTCGCAGTGCTTACTTGATGTATTTATAGCCTGCAGTTTTTTTCCTTCCAAGGAATGCAAGGCTGCTTGCATCATTCTCCCCCTCCAGCTCTCAATCTTGTCCTTACAACAACCCTACGAGGTAGGTTGGACTGAGTCTGTCACTGTTCCGAAGTCACCCAGTGAATTCCATGGCGGAGTGGGGACTAGATCTCCCAAGTTCCAGCCCTGGACTCTTAAACACTGCACCACAGTGTCTCTCAGCTGTTGATGCTCCCTGATGTTTGAGGGGGACTCTGTGTGACCACCATGAAGCCAAAAAGTGAACACATTTCGATAGCCATATTGTTGTTGTTAAGGAATCCATACCAAGGGAGGCCATAATCCCATAGTTCTCCTGCATTACATTCCTGCAAAATGCTCTCTGACGACGGCCTGCAAATGAACAGTGCCCTTCATTTGAGTATACAGTCACCTCCACAAAGGCTTCTGGAACCTGGGAAACACAACAAGGAAGACCATCATTTAGAATCTGCAGAACTTAGTCACCAGATGGTTGCGGGGAGACAGAGCAGTGTGTTGGTTACAGTGCTGGACCAGGACTGAGAAACGCTGGGTGACCTTGGGTTACAGGGCTGGCAGCAAGGGGACCTTCTGAGGGCCCACACCCCAGCACAGACCCATAGAGAAGCACCCCTTGGAGTTGCTCCTTCTCAGAGCAACTGATGGGCACAAGGGGCACATGCTTTATCTTTGGCTATTGCTCTGGACTTCAAAAAAACTATAGGATTACCTCCTATCCAAGTTGGAGGAAAGATACTCTTTCGTCAGGATTGAGAACATCACATAGTGGTAAAGGGGTTTTGAAGAATACCTCTAGGATTGGTCCCCTTCAAATGTGCTCTAGAATCACACACAATATTGCATAATTGCACATACAACTTTCATAACACTTCCACAGCAATGCTTTCAAAATGGAGCCAGTTCTTATGATCAGCTGCCAGTCAACAAGCATACAGTACAGTAATCAAAGTACTGTCTGGAAAGCCTCTGAATGTGTGTGTGAATGTGTTATTATTTATCTATTTAGGGAACTTCTATGCCGCCCCATTCGCCGAAGCCTCGGGGCGGCTCACAATCATAAATAAATAATATAAAACAATATAATTTAAAAGTATAAATTAAGTCGTCCTGGCCAAAGAATAAATAAATAATATTAACAATTAAAATAACGTTTGAATAAAATGTTAGCAGGATTATGCCCAGTGGTTCCAGCCCCTAAAAGCCTACAGGTATATGCATTGTTCCTTTCACAGCTAATGAGCACTGCTATTGGACTGCACTCTCCGTGACCACAGACAAATGTTTATTTCCGCAGCTTCAAGCTTTTAATATCAATACATGGCATATAATGGTTTATCCTACTGGGGGGGTGGGGGATACATTGAAAGGCAAGTGCTTTTTGTGTTTGGTTTGGGTTTATCATCATAATCCCTCCAGGGCAGGTATCTTACATCAGAAAATATGAGTTTCAGGTTAATATACATAACATGTTTGTCTGGCGTGATAATAATTTTAAACTGTGAGGACAGAAGGAAATTAAGTACAAAAAGTGGCACATTGTTAACAGCTGCACTCTGATAACACATGTAGTGTGATTAAAAAAAAAAAAAACTTTTACCCTGATGATAAAAATCAAGATAACTGACTTACCTAGTGTCCGGGCATTTGTGTTATGAGCAGCAACTGCACTGTGAATGGCCACTTTTAATAAGATTATCTTTTTTTGCTCTTAATTTTCTTCTCTCCTTCCTGTTTACCATTCTTCCTTCACCCCAATATATACTGTATAAAAGCATGAAATGTTTCATATGCTCTACAGGCTGTAGCCAGCCAGAAGTTTTTTGGGGGACCATCAAAAAGCTAGGGAGGATGTTTACCTTGTTTTCCAGCCCTTTAAAGGCAAAACTGAAAATTGTTTTTACTCATCCCTTATTTTTGTAGTCATCCTGCCATTTATATGCATTCAAATATTTCCAATAAGCAACTTGAGTAATTGCTATGGTTCTTGCCACCAAACAAGACAAAGGTTTTAAAAATTAAAAATAACCAACTAACGGAAAATCAAAAATAAGCTGCAGCAGGAATATTCTTATCATGAACAGAGCTGGAAAGGGCCATTTAGGCCACCAAGTCCAACCTAATATTCAATGTAGGAATCCAGTTAAACATCTTTGCCAGATACCTGTCCATACCCTGCTTGAATACCTCCAGCAACAGAGAATTTGGCACCTTCTAGGCAGCTGGTTTCACTGACCCAGTATGTGTAATTGAAGAAGAAAAATAAAGTAACATGGCTTATTTTTCTGTCCCATGCATGCTGGTCACACACAACCAAATTACCATAATTTCTGAACTCCCTTGCACTTCAGAAAAATGGATATTAATAAATGCAGAGGTAAGGGCAAAGGTAAGTAGGATTCTATGCCAGAGAAACCCAAGAGGAAATAGATGTACCAGATACTGGAAGGCCTGTGGACATTTAACTTGAAACAAGAGAAGTGGGCAATTCTTTTTGACATGGAAACTTCATTTCCATATTCCATTTCCTTAACGCATGAAAAACCGTCCACCCCCAATTCTGGAGGCCCCCTCCAATGCCATACCTGCTCCTGCAGCCAGCTTTCCTCTTCCCCACCTCTTCCCCCTGAATCTCTTACCTGAGCCGTCTCTACAACAGCCATCTCGAGAAGCCGGGGATGGTCGAGAGTCCTATGTTCTGCAGGCCTGTTGAAGATCAAGAAAAGCATATTTCAGAAAGGGCTTCCTTGAACTCTTGTATCCAAGAAGTGAAGTTCTGTTCAAAATTTTATCCCACACACCCCACACCAGAATTCCTGAAGATCTGGCGCATGTTATACTGGAAAACAAATATTACCCCACTCACCTACCCACCCAAATACCGCTTCACCAAACTGGATCTACCCTCACTGCTTTTCGAACTCAAACCCGACCAGAGAACAGTTCTTTAAAAAAAGAAAAGAAAAAGCGCAGCTACAGGCTCCAAATCACACCCACCCACACGCAAATCCCCCCACCCTCCTTTCATTCATAAATACAGCCGTCCCATTTTGGCATGTTGAATTCGGGCAGTTCTGAAGAGCCGTCCCTTTTGAGTCCCTGCCTCGCTCCCTCTGAGCCCCACGTAGCAGCCTTCCCCGGGTCGCCAGGCGGTCCACGTGGCCCCGCTCACCGGGGGCCTCCAGGCCTAAGAGGCGAGGCTGCAGGGAAAGGGGCCGGTCCCACTCTCCGGGTCACAGGTGGCTCGAAACGGGTTGCAAGGGGCGAAGGCCTTTCCCCTAGTCCCACGCTGCCTCTCGGGAGCCGGAGGGGTCCCAGCGACCCATTTCCTCGGAGAGTGGCCCCAGCGACAGCAGCAGCATCCGACCCAACAGCCAGCCGGGCATCCAATCGCCCGGGGACAGCGCGCGGGGAGAAGAAGGCCGCCTTCTGCCGCAGCCAGAGCCCTCTGGTGGCCGCCTGAGGTTGCCACCTCTCTTTCTTGACGGGGCTCCTATGCTTTCAAGAGCTGTGTGCAAGCAGAAAACCAACAGGTGCTGTCGTCCCCCCCCCCCCCCCCAGCATCTTCGGGGTTTATATAGCCGGCTCTCTCTCATTTGTTCGTTCTTCTTTTTATGAGTACATGCACACGCCTATCAGCCAAGACTGGCTCCCAAAGCTGCTGATAATTAAAACCCAATCCGCCCGGTCAATACATGAGTGCATATATACGAATAGCATGGATATGCGTCCGGCAATCCCCTCGGTGAGAGTCGATGACAAAAGTCCAGATTCTTCCTTCCAGAGAGTTAGGAAATAGAAGGGAGTGCCTTATCATAAAAGTATGCCTCTGAATGAGTGCAGAATTCTGTTACCTACACGCCCTGCCAAACTCTCTCCCGCTCAATAATCTAGGTTCAACGGATGCCAGACATGCAGAAAGGAAAGAAGAGGAGGCTGCTGCTATTCAGGTACTGAACCATCTCTGGGGATGGGACTTGCCAATACAAGTAAGTCTAGGAATTGGAAGGATCCCAAGAATTTATCACTCACTTGTTTTGTACCCTGCTTTCCTACCAAGAAAAATGGCACTCAAGCTATTAAATAAACACATACCATAAATAAAACTTGATTAAAACAATAATAGAAGTAATTATAATTATAATAATTAACAGAATTGGTTGGTTTCTAATTGTGTGCACTTGGGTGGACAGACGGAGGAGGTGGGTGGGCCAACTCCATATATGGATCAGCTTTAACAGTTGCTTTCTGTCTTGAAATAAAGCCTCATCAATAAGTATATTGTACATTTATTTCAAAAGCCTACGATGGAGAAACAGCAAGCTGCTGATGGAAAATCTATGCCTTCACAGCTACTAGGCTTGCAGGAATGTAGCTTCTCCCTACCATGGGACTCATTAGGGGACATCAGGGGAGTCACCATCTCTCAGCCTAGTCTACCTCATAGGGTCGTTAAGAGGCCAACGGAGGAGGAGGAGGAGGAGGAGGAAGAGAACTATGCCACCTTGAGTTCCTTAGAGGAGAGGCAGGGTAGAAATGTATTCAATAAATACAAGGAGTAGTATCTAGACAAGTTCTAGAGAAGACACACTGAAATCAATAAGACTTAAGTCAGTCATGACCTGACAGGTCTGCTCTAAGTATGACTAACTTTGGATCCAGCCCATAATATATTAGTAGTAGAAGTTGTAGTATTTATTACATTTCTATACTGCCCATAGCCAAAGCGCTCTGGGCAATTTACCACAAATAACCCTATATATTTGTATGCCAGGCTGCTGTCAACAGTGCTGGAGCGATGCCTTCCTCCCTCTCTCCCTAGAATTCAGGCATTCCACACCGATTGCTCCCTTCCTCTTGTTTCATTCTCACATATTTTCTCTCCAGGAGATACTTTGAGTCCAGCAGCTTCCACTCTGCTTTATGATTGAGTGGACCTTTGAACTTCAGGCCCCTGGGTTCTCATCCAGTGTTCTAACCACTTGGCCATACTTGTATTCATTTATATAACACTTGATTTAAGGCAAATAAAGTCCTTGAATTTCATCCTCATAACAACATGATACCCTAGTTATAACATTGTCAATTTTTCTTTCTTTTTTCTCCTCCTTACAGGGTTATAAGCTGCATTTTGGCCCAATAATCAAGCAGGTCAAGATTTTGGTAATGAAAATAATTTTCTGAGGAAAACTCACATGCTGAATTCCTGCCTGTCATGCAGCAGTTAAAAGCACAGGTGCTCTGCCAAAGTAAGAGGTAACAATTTGTGTTATTAAGGTTGTAATTTAAGCACACTTATCTATTACACACACTGCAACCTTTGTCAGCGTTGTTAATATAAAAACTATCTATTTTGTGTTTCTCTCTGCTAAAGGAACATGTGGATGTATATTTTTATTTTATAATTTTCCTAATAAAAGTACAGTGGTGCCTTGGCTCATGAACGCCTTGGTTCACAACCAAATCGGGTCACGGACAAAAATTTCATGAAAATTTTGACTCGGGATGCGAACTCTGCATTGGGTGGCAACCAAGATCGCGGCCATCTCCCCACCCCCAACCAGCATGATTGCGGCCATCCCCCCCGAGTGAGGAGATGGCCACGATTGCAGTTGCGTTTGTGCAGGGAAGACATAGAGGAGCTGACGACAGAAGAACTTGTTCAACTCCAGAGTGAGCAGCAGAAGGCACTTGCTGAGGAGGATTCCACTGAGGAAGAGGAAGACAGGGATGTGATACAATCCATTATGAAAAAATGAAATGAGTGCCAGGATTTCTTTGAGAAGCACCACCCCAACATAACTGTAACGAACAGAGTGTTGAATCTGATGAATGATAACGTGGCCTCTCATTTCCGGAGGGTTATGCAGCGCAGGAAAAAACAAGTGACTATAGACAGATTTTTCACCAAAATTGACCCTGCAGCTCAGAGACAAAGAAGAGAGGAAACCCCTGAAAGAGATCTCCCCAATGTCCTTATGGAGGGGGACCCTCCCTCAAAACAATAAGCTCCCCCACACCTAGGTTAGTGTTCTCCACTGTACTGTGCAGTACTTTGTCACTTTGTTGTTCTTTGTCACTTTGTTTTGACTTTTTCTGATTAAAAAAAAGTTACAGAATGGATTAACTTTATTTACATTGAACCTTATGGGGAAATTTGACTTGGGTCACAACCAGAGCCGTGGAATGGATTAAGTTCGTGAGCCAAGGTACCACTGATAGGGTATTATGCTGATAGGGATTTTGGAATGCTGCTTATGGATAACATGACTACCTTTTAAAAATGACATGGGAATACTGAATTTAACAATTCAACAGCAGACCCAGATCCTGAACCATGAGGATTTTTTATCACCTGAAGTTTTGACATTGTTTTCTGATTAGGGAGGGGTTATCCCCTCCAACTATTAGGTAAAAACACCCAATTTGGTTTCTGCTGAACTTTTTTTTTGCCTAGAACAGCATCTAATATATCTAGCTGTGTTAATATCAAGACTGGCTGGCCTGTTTTCTGTTTCTACTGCCAAAACAGCCCGTGTGCTTTGTCCAAGATGCATATGGTTTTTGAATTAACAGCTGGATTTTATATTTTTTAAAATGGGGACTCAGCTTATCTACTGATTTTATCCTAGCAGCCACAAGGGCAGCTGAAAGTAAAACCTGAAGCCATCACATCATCTGCTAGAACCTTTAGAGCTTTATCTGAATGTTCACAGACTGTTTTGCTTCCCATGGTCCAGTCAAATAAGTCATTATGAAGATATCATGACTTCAACACAAGTTAGGATTGTCTTCCTCTTTCCTCCCAACAAGTCACATTTTGCCTGATGAGGAGATCTGCATATCTTGAAAGCTTGTACATGTAGGGGTGATCGTTTTGTGGCCGAACAAAGCATTATATTGCTATGCCTGTTCTTATGGCCAACAATGTTACCTTTGTTTTTTGCCTTCTCATAAAGAGGTAAATCCCCAGATGTCTTGGATATTAAGTCCCAGAATCCCTGGCTATTAGCTATGCAGACAGGGGCTTCTGGGAGCTGAGGTCTGAAATATCTTGTGCCCACCTGCTATAAAGTATTCTCTCTGTTCAGCATTATTTTGTGGTCAATAAAGTCTGGACCCTCTAGCCAAAATTGAAATTATCTCACAGTCAGGCTATTCATAGGTTTTCCTTACAATGCAGCTTCCTTTTTTGGGCAGAGCAAAACCAAGAAGAGCATTTTCTCAGCGTCTGTATATAAGGAATCCAGTCCTTAGCTGATTCTGGGTGTGGGAAGGGGCATGTGAATCTGATCAACAGTAATCTAACCAAGCATGCTAGAACTGAAACTCAACGACAAAGGTTGGCAGAATGTTTGTAGAAGCTAAAGGTAAATCTACAGGTTGCTTTTAGTATTTTTAAAAACATAAGAAGAGCCATGCTGGTTCGGCACAAAGGACCAGCTCGTTCAGTATTCTGTTCACCTGAGGACCAGTTTCCCACAGGAATCCACAAGCAAGACAGCACTTTCCTGCCCAGGTGCTGCAGCAAATGGCATGCATATGCATAGTACCTGGGATCCCGAAGACAGTGTAGAACCATCAGGACTAGTAGTCATGGATAACTTTATCCTGTCAGCTAGTTATATTCTGCCCATTTTCTGCCTATGCCTCATATTTGGTGGAGCTTGCCGTATTTCAGTTTGAACTGATTTTGTACCAGCAGGTGGCAGTAAAAAGGGGGGGCGGGCACCTTTGAAGCAAACAAGGGATCTTCCATTAAGGGCAACTTTCCCACCATATACTCACAGTTAAAGTAATCAAACCAAAACCTTGTAAATGTGTGGCCTGTCCAACGTATGTTCTCAGAAGGAAGCCATTTTAAAACCTCACCTGAATGTCTCCATTTTGTACCTTTCTCCTAAGGCTCCCAAAGTTTTGGGCTGGATTTTAAATGAATTTCCCTGAGTCTCTGCAAAGGAAAGCAGTAAGATCTGATAATTCAAAATTCTGTATGCTGGTAACTGAAACGTTTCGTAGTGGTAAGCCCAGTCCGCGAGCAAATTGTGGGAAGGAAATCCATAATGAATCCCTACAGTTGCGACTTTTTGGGTGCTCCCAGTGAGTGACAATGTGCTTCTATATTTTTACAATTTGGCAGCAGCCTTGTAAATAATCCCTAAGGAATATTCCTCTTTTATCAAGTGCAGCTTAATTCAGAGTAAAGGTTTTAGAATGTAATCCTATCTAACTTCAGACAGGAAAAAAACACCTTCAACTCCTAACACACCCCAGCCACAGGACCATTGTGAGGAAAAGTGGAGAAAAGGATTATTTACATCATATAAATGAAACAAAGAAATGAATACTGGATAAATACAGGAAGCTGCTTTGTACTGAACTAGGGCCACCTCCAGGTTTGAAGGGATCCTGGGCCAAGTGCACTCTGGTTCAGTCTGCAAGGCTTACCTAGAAGCAGGGGCAGCTGGAAGCAGGAGCATCAGATGGCCAAGGGTTGTTACCTTCTACCAGTGACCTTGGCTCACTTCCAGGTCTCCCCTCTAAGATGCAGGGGCATTCCTGGGGGATGTTTTAAGATTCTCCAGGCAAAGTGGAACCAAGCCAAAAGTGGGATTATTTGCGACATAACTCATAAGCTTCCTTCCACATTACGGGATTGCAACTGCCATCATTCCTCACCTTTGGCTATTCTGGCTAGGGCAGATGGGAATTGTAGTTCAATAAAATTCTGGTAGCCTACAAGCTGCCCATCCCAGATTTGCACACATGGGAGCAGGAAGTCTAACTGGTCTCTGAAGGGAGTTTGCTGTTAAAAACAGTAGTTGAGCAACCAATGATGCAATTAGATGGCTTATCTGAGGCTTTTAGCACGGGCTGTTTGCCACTTGGTCCTCCCTCATACAAAAAGCCAACTGGACAGCAAACCTACTTCTAGACCATAACACATGGTTCTGGATGTATAGCTGCACAGAACTAATGTTGCTTCATTAAAAACAAAACCGCAGTAACTTTTTAACAGAAAAAAACTAGCAACTAGCTTAGAAGCATTCTAGCTTAACCTTCTTCCTGAGAGTTTTCTTTGTGTCTTATCTTAAAAAATGAATTTATAATGCCAAGTTCTTATTTGTACAGTCCAGAAATTGGTTTACTATCTTCTCTGTGAAGTAGGGCAAAGAACTATACCTGCCTGGCCTGAGGGGCAAAGGAGGGAATTCCCCAAAGTTGTTTAACTTACATTACACATGGACACATGCCAATGGGAAAACTCAGACATTCCAAAAACAGTTATAGCTTTTCATTTTTATTAATGTCTGGCTTGAGACCTGTAGGATTTTTTTCTGCCAGGCACACAAAATGTAGGATTGTGCTGTATGTTAACCTTTGCTATGGTTCAAGTAAATACCTGAAGAAAATGATCTATTTTTCAATCAGCTTAAAAAGATCAATTACATGCTTCTCTAGATGCCTCTGCTGTTTTAGTTATGTACTGTTACTTCCAGGTGATCTGGAAGCATACTGAAATGGCTCACCTTTTCTGTGTGGTCTTTTAAACCCTCTTGTATGTAAGAAGTCACATTTAGCTATGTCTGGGCAAACTATAGCTTCTGTTTCTTGCTAACATCTTCAGGCCCATACATACCTGGAAGCATGTCTTTGCATGGCCATATCCACATAAAATCCAGAAAAACAGATGCTGACAACAAAAGCTTTATTTAAAAACATACACACTGTAAATAATTCAGCCTTGTGATTTAGGATTAACTCAATCATCTGTGATCAGCACCAACAGTTCCTATATGCTGCAGTCACAAAGCATCCATGTGAGAAAAATGGGCTCATTAGATTCCTTCCGAAGATGGTGACAATTATTCTCAACAATCCTGTTAGGTCTTTGTGCCATATAAAAACCCAGTGGTTCAAATTTTGTCCCTTGCTTGCTCTGTGAGCTCTCTTACCTTTTATCTTGCAGGACACTCCCCGTTTTGCCAATAAAGTATTTGCCAAGAGCAGGAAGAAACAGCTGCACGTGCAACAACCTAGTCCATGCCCTATTTAAGAAAGGCCTTTGCTACGGAAGCAGTTCCTGTCTGCATCCACTTTCTCCACCCTGGTGTGCTCCTGCTGATGAGAGGGCAATATCCACAGTGTTCAGCTAGGATGATTAAGAATGATGAGTGATACTAACAAATATTATCTGGAGGGCACCAGGTTGCAGAAGACTGGCCTTTATCTGCCCTGCCAGTCCCCAAATAGGACAGAAATTTGAAATACTTTCCTCCCTCATCAGATATAACATGAAAGCAGCGTGTGTGTGCGTGCATGAGATCACCGTAGCTAAGGCTGAAACGACCAATTTTAATTCCCAGTGCATTAAAACGGACTGGGAATTTGTCTAAAATGGAAACAAAACTACCTCCCAAGGTCATTTATCTATGATTCCAACTGTTAACTCCCTTGAGCAGATGTCTTTACATTTAACATCATGGTATTTTCTGATAAATTACTCTTGAATTAGAGTTTTCTTTATAACACAAAATATACGGCAATTGTTGATCCTTTCATTAGATTAATAAAATGGCAGTATTCTCTGTTGTTTCTTAGTTCTCATGATCAAACAACTGGATTGATGCCCCCTACTTCATCTTTCTTAACATCCTTCATTTTGGGGCACAGAAATGTATTTCAGAAGATGAAAGAACTCTAAATCAGAATTCAGACAGTTTCAAAATTAAATCAAGCTTGTCAGAAGTAGCCATATTTTGCAACACTCTTTTGAATGGGCAGTGGATGTTTTAGGAGGAATTATGCGATGGTTCCCCCTTCCCTACACAATCACCCACATCTTTTGACAAGCTAAAATGGCCACTTCATCTTTTCCATCATTTTTTCCTTTACCACCCATTACACATGCATCTCCAGTCAGGTTCACAAATTCAAAATGAATTAAGCCAAAAGGCAGTGGAGGAGGAAAAAGCCTCTATATCAGAGGTAGCATAGAGGTCCATTACTTGAGCTAAGACATCTGAATGATTTGAGGCTGAACAGATAATAGGTTCATGTTTCAGTTTCTGAGGTAGTTTATCACCATTGCTTACATAAAGAACCGGGGTCACCTGGAGATGCAGGTGCATTTCAGCTCAGAAAGATCCTAGGTTGAGTTCCACAGCAGCCCTCTTAAAGTATCAGCAATTGTCCCCTTTCATCTCCAAAGACTGTAGTAAGTTGTATTTAAAAAATGGATCCAGCTGACCAGCATTACAGGGGGCCTCTTATGAGTGTGTTTTTAAATGTGATTCCAAATGTTTTTTAAGGGACCACTTTGTCAAATAGCCTTTGTCACACACTGAACATTTATATGGCCTTTCTCCTGTGTGCATTCTCAGGTGAGAACTAAGAATTGCATTTGTTGTGACTCTCTTGCCACAGTAAGAACAGCAATAAGGTTTCTCTCCTTTGTGGGCCTTCTGATGTTTAAGAACAGCTGATTTTGACTTAAACTGTTTTCCACATTCAGTACACTGATAAGGTCTAAGATCTGAATGGCTTATCTGATGCCTTGTAAGGTCCTTGGGGTGGTGGAAGCTTTTTTTACACACTTGGCACTGATAGGGTCTCTCTGGGGAGTGCATTTTTTGGTGCCTATCAAGTGAATATTTGCGCTTCAAGGATTTCCCACAGTCAGAGCATGTATGACTTTGTTCATCTGTGGCAATCCCGTGATCACTAGTGTGACATGAGCTGTCCTTGACAGGTTCCTTATCCACCAACCCATTAATGGAATTTTCTTCAGCATGGTCACTCTGATGTTTAGCAAGAGTTACGTTATCTATGAAGGTTCCCCCATTTTCAGAGCACTCCAGAGGGTTTCCCCCTGCGTGGACTCCTTGATGTCCAGAGTAGACTGAAGTGTCAGTCCATTTGTTGGAATTTTCTTCAGTAGTGTCTCCCTCTAAATAGGGGCTCTGATGTTTAGCAAGGTCTGAACTGCCCACACTCTCAGAACACCCAGGGTTTCTTCCTTCCAGGTGGCCTCCATGATTCCTAGGGTAGACTGAATTTTCTAACCATTCCCTGGCATGACTAACTTGACCTTTAGGAAGCATCAAGTTGTTATTTACTGTGCTCTTACATTCTAATCCTTTACCGTTTTCTTCTAAGTGATGCTTAGTGCAGGTGGCAGTACCTACACATTCAGAACATTCCGGTTTTTTCCCTTCCATGTGCAGCACCTGATTCCCAGAGTGGGTTGTATTGTCAGACCAATTATTCGAAAGTCCTTCTATATTTCTTGTTGGATCTTTAGCCATGTATGAGCTGTCAGCAGGCGTTCCCCCACTATTGGGCAAGTCACCGGGTTTCTCCATGATATGCATTTCCTGATGCCTAGAGAGGGAATATCTTGTTCCAAATGCTTTCCTACAGATGGAGCATTGATACGACCTGATCTCCATGTGGATGCGCTTGTGCCTAGTGAGAGAGTAATTGGTTCGAAAGGCTTTCCAACAGAAAGGGCATTTATGGGACTGTCCTTCTATGTGTATCTCTCGATGATGAGTGAGGGCGTATCTGTAAGAAAAGGCTTTTCCGCAGATGTCACACTGATAGGGTTTGCTTCCCATGTGCAGTTGCTGATGCCTGCGGAGGGATGAAAGCGTTCTGAATGCTTTCCTGCACAGCGTGCATTTATGTTGATATACTTGTTCTTGCACATGGACTTCCTGGTGATGAGCAAGAGTATACCTATAAGCAAATGCTTTCCCACAAACACTGCATTTATAGGGCTTACCTTTTATATGGATTTGTTGATGTCTATAAAGGACACTTTTAACTCTGAAGGCTTTGCCACAATAGGAGCATTTGTGCTGATAAAGTTGTTGTTCTTCAGCATGATTCTTCTGAAACTCTGTGAAGGACCATCTACAGGCAGAACCACTCACCTGGTTGGAACCTTCTTTGGTGCTGCACTCTGGATGAAACTGCTGATGCCTTCTCAGATTATAATCAGTTGCGTAGACTTTCCCACAGTTAGGACACCTACAGCATCTCTCTTTCATGGAAGCTTCCTGTTGGTTAGCAGATAACATGCTTTCATTACAGAGTTTCTGAGAGGCATTTTTAGATTGCTCTTCTGTGTGTTTTCTCTGATGATTAGCAAAACACTGGCTGTTGCTGAAGATTTTCCCACAATCAGGACACTCATGGGGATTGCCTTCTGTTTCAGTGCGAAGGGGTTTTCCACAGTCAAAGCATGCATTGTGTTTCATATTTACTTGAATTATCTGATTTCTGGTGAGCAACCCTTCTTCTTGTTCTTCTTCCTTGAAGATGCTCCCTTCGCCTGTCTGCTTATATTGTTGCTCTCTTATGTGCATTTTCTGATGATTAGCAAAACACCTCTCATTCTTGAAAAATTTCCCACAAGTATGGCACAGATGGGCACTTTCTTCCATGGTGCTTTGCTGATAAATACTGTGGGACAGCCCCTCCACAAAATGCATTTTATGGTTAAGGTTTTGATCTGGTGTACCTTCTGCATGCATGTTTTGATTGTCAACACTTCTGTTGTCTCTAAAATTCTTCTTGTAACCAGTGCCTTTACATGGAATTTCACTCCCCTGTAGTTTCTGTTCTTTGATTAGGAAGGATTTCTCTCTGCAGTTTTTCCCACTGTCAGAATAGAGAGCGCTTTGGTCTTCCATGTGAGTCATATTATGCCTAACAAGAGCTTTCTCTTTTAGGAACCCTTTTCCACATACAGAGCATTTAAAGACATTTGCTCCTGAATGGGTTCCCATCAGATGCCTGACCAGGTATCTTTCCTCCATGTAACTTTTCTCACAGACAGGACATGGATAGGTTGTTTCATTGGTATGTGCTCTCTGATGCTCAGAAAGAGAGGTCCTTGTAACAAAGCTCTCTCCACACTCGGGACATTCATAATGTTCCTTTTTTGATTGGGACTTGTGCATATGGATTTTCTTTATATGCACAGTGAGTGCTGATTTCTCAATGAAGCATTTGCCACAGGTAGAACACTTATAGGGTCTCTCACTGCTGTGTATTTTGAGATGTCTGTTGAGGGATGATCTCCTACTAAAGCTCTTCTCACAAACAGAGCATGTGTTCTGACTTTCCCCTGCATTTATTCCTTGCGGGTTGTTTTTGCTGGTGTAACCCATACTGCCCTGCAGTTGACTGTGCCAATGGTCACAGGGTTCTCCCTTCCAATGATTGCCGTCACATTTACCTAGCAGAGCTGCACGTGGCTTTATGACCCTGTGACCTTTGATTTGAACATTCCCTTCCTCTTCTTTCTCACTTCTTGATTCATCATCTGCTTGAATAAGGAAAGAAAAGAATAATTCTATAAGCAACCTGGATAGTGGTCATCATTTCGGAATTTTAGCTTTACAAAAAGGGTGCAGAAGGCATGCTCAGGAGTTATAATATGCATGGTGTGGAGAGATGGTCTTCTATGCCACTAGAACTCAGGGTCACCCAGTTCAATCAATTGTCAATCAATTCAGGACAGACAAATAGAAGCATTTTCTTAGACAACATACAACTGGATTACGGACTTCACTGCCACAAGAAGCATTAACTGAGATTATTTGACACCTGTCTGGAAAGATATGCACTGCTTTCCAATACGTGGCTTTTATATTTAACACCCAAAAGGTGCAGTCGGATGGCTGCCAGATGCTGTATAGATGACCATAGGATAATTTGGTGTCCCAGCTGTGGCCTCAGAGGGGACCTCTGGCTCCCCTCCTCACAAGCTGGAATAATGCACGCGGACAGCCAAAACTGGCCATCTGAATGTTTGGGTGTCTGCCATCCAGTGGATGTCAAGAATCCTCTGAGTTTACAAGGCCAGTGGCAGCCTAAGCAGCTTAGGATCTGACTGTCTATGGTGCAGCCTGCCTTGTTTTGAACCTGCCGAACTATTAAGATCTGTCAGAGAGGCTTTTATGATTGGTCCCCACTTGGCCTTCAGACAGGGTGTAAACAACCAACTTTTTCAATTTTCCTTTTCAAATGTATAGTTTTTAATATACCAGTTTCTATTGCTGAAGCGTTTTATTGTTTTAAATTGCTGCACATCCCCTTGATGGCTTTTTAGCAGATAAGGCTGCATTAAAATGTTAATAAATCATAATAAAGAGATAATGGCCACCAACACAGAGGGCTTTAAAGGACGACTACACAAATTAATAGAGGAAGATAGGTTATCAATAGCTATTTACTGCACAGCTATATGGAACCATCACATATTTGATTCCAACTGCTACAATGGGGAGAATGCTATCACCATCATGTTCTGATTGTGGGCTTCCTTTAGCTGGCCAAATTGTTAATATTTTGGTCTTGACTCTTTTTCCATTGACTCCACCCACCCTGGGATACAGCCCCAAAAAGCTGCTCTGAAATGGAATTTGCTCCTCAGGCTAAATGAATTCTGCACCCCGGTCAATGGAAACTGGAAGCTCAGCTCTGCCCCGCCAGTTCCACTATATACAAACATATGACCACTGCAGCTGGTTAGGAGAAAGCACAACTGAGGAAGCAGCTCCTGCACAGAGGTGTGAACTATGGGTCCCATCAGTTGTGCACATAACCTTGATCCACCAGAGAGATATTCCATCTATCCAGTGGGCAGGCTGGATCTGAAGACTGAATATGTATGAAGAAACATGCAGTGACCACTTCAGAGGCAAAGTGTTTCAGAGGCAAGCCTGACCTGAACTAGATGAATCGGAAGTGGGCACGCTTATGGGACTCCGGTAGGAATTCCACCAATTCCTTGTCTCTGGCCATTGTTTCAGTGCTTGGTTAACCAGCCCTTCAGTAGCATCATTGCCAGAGCACTGGATATCTGGGACCCAGGCCTCTTGTGTTCGTTCCAGGTGAGCTAGCAGTTCAGATCCTTGGAGCTGAAGTGGGGAGGCTGAGAGGGGAAAAAGAATGGGAAACCCAAGTGAATTGTGGATACTTGCTTTAAAAAGTGTTTAGGGAGGGATCAATTCTGCCTTGCCAAGAATGTCTCACTTTCCAACTTTCACTTTCCAAGCAAGCAATCACTCAGTAGCTGCAGGAGACCCAAATCAGCGTCATATTTAAGGAGTAGCCTGGCAGTCATAGGCAACTAGGAATTTTATGCAGGCGAATGAATGGGTTGGCAGAGGAGGGACAGATCTCTTCCTCCCACCAGCGCACTTGGGTTCTGTGGCAGCCATGGGGGAAAGGAATCCTCTTCCGCTGCCAGTCTGTTTGGGAGATGGCATTTTTACTGGCCTGCTAACAACTTAGTGTTCTGCATTTCCATGGTGGGGAATGCCCTGTAGCCAGCATGTTAAGGACCCCATCAGCAAACTAGTTTCATGCTCATAAATAAGCCTACCAAAGTTACAAAGCTAATCAGAATACTCATAAGATTCATGACCTGGACTGCTTTGGACATGACACATAACTACAATGCAGTGTCTCCTCACCATGGTTTGATTCACAAGGTGCCATAGCTCAGAGGCAAGCCATGTTCTTCATATTGCAAAAGGTCCCAGGTTCAATCCCTAGCATTTAACTTGAAATCTCAGGTAACAATTGGCAGAAAGATCTTGGGATCTTAGGATGGTCAAGTTCCATATATGTGCTAACAACATATGTTTAGATGTAAGAGCCCTCTGAACATAGTAGAAAGGATATGATCAACCCACAACAGAAATACAGGAAACCTGTAATGTAGCCCTTAAGAGAGCAGCATAAAGGAAATTGTATTATTTAAATAGTGTGCTCATTTAACCAAGAGGTATGCTTCCACTGCTGTTTGAAAGTGATTTTGCTATCAATTTTATGTGGTTAGAGGCTTTTATCCATGCAAATTTAGAAAAGCAGCACACAAATATATAAAATACATGGCAAACACTTTTTTCCTGAAACTTGTCCAGGTGTAAAATAAAGATGAGGAATATGTAATCCTCCCAATGTCATTGGTTCACAACTCCTTATTAGCCTTCAGTATTGACTATGCTAGAGCTGGTGGGAGTTTTGAGTCCAACAACACTTAAAAGAACACATATTCCCTGCCCCTGCTGCAAAGATAAAAATAGATTAACTTATTGAGGATTTTAAAAGACAGTGTTTATTGGAATTGTTAGAATGGCTAGTGAAAAATGGTTAATGTTCATCTCTCAAAACAAGTCAGTATTCCTTGTTATGAAATCCCAAGTGATAAGCTATTGAAGATGCTTCATGTTAAATGCTTTGAAAATGAATTAGTAAAAAAGCAGTGACTGTTTTTAAAGGAAAATACAAACATGTGAAGCCTGTGTAACTTATGAAAACTTTTGGCAAAATGACCTGCAACCTATCCAAAAAAGAAAGTTGGACTGTAAAGCACAATCACTTGTGTTGTTCTTTCTACTGATTTCTAATTTCTCTTCAAGATCTTTTGTAGGCTTTTCTTTATAGTTCAAAGCACATTTTTCATGCTTCAGCTAAGCATTTCAGGAAAAAACAATCTTATAGCAAAAAATGGAATATGCCCAATTCTTGTAAATGGCATCAGTTGGCGATAATGAACATTCACCAACATCTAATCAATTAATCAATGAAATGAATCAGTTAAGATGTGTTGATTGAAAATACATTCCTGATTAATTAAGCAGTAGATTTTTTAATTTTCTAAAATGCAAATACTTGCTGCAGATGACAACACTATCTATGAAGAAGCACCCAATTCTGCTTAAGAATGAATCTTCAAATATTATACATCCTATAGCACTTGAATGCATCAATAGAAAAGATTTTCCTTGAAACTATTTTTCTTATATACAAATGTCTGTGTATTTAAATGATCAATCAACTCACTGATGATGAATCATGTGCAATCCTATGAACATGATTTTGGAAATAACCTGCACTGGACATAGATGGTATCACTTCCCTGAATATATTCACAGGATTATCTTACATGTGCAACTAATTTCTAAGATTCTATTAGTAACAACCCTAAATTTATGCACATTTTTCTGCTTTGGAACATCTATTTCATTTCCTAAGGGTTCAGGAGGAAACAAGTTGCAATCTAAAAATAACCCATCATGCATAAGATTAAACTGAAATATAGGCTCACATTACAAATATATGTATATATATTCTTAAAATGTATTCTTAAATGTATATATATTCTATATATGTATTCTTAAAATGAAGTCTTATTGAGAGCATTGGTCTTAATTATTTGATATACTTAATTTATCTGCCAAGAAAATCTGAATTCTAGGATTTGCACAAATAACATGTTAGTTTTAAAGCTGGTACAAAGAGTATGGATTTCAGTGCAGTCCTATCCATGTCCACTAAAAAGCAAGCTCCACTGAATGTAATGGAACTTATTCTCCCAGGAGAGAAAAGGACTTCATTTTAATCAATTGTGAATGCAATCCTATGGAGGCTTAGTCAGAAAAAGTCCTAGCATTCCCTATCCACCCGGACAGTCTAAATACACAGGAATGCATCCTTAAATATTTTGATTACAATGGTACCACCTGACAACAGACTTTCATTTAAGTCGATCATGTTGCACACTACTTATTTATACTTATTAAGTGCATTCTTAATAAGTATAAATTGTGATTTTCATATCTCAGTGTTTGAATATGACTTTATTGCTCTTATTGTTTTTATTTGAATTGTACCTCAGCTTAGAGGCATTTGTGGAAAGAGAGCTTATAAAACAAGCAAATGTCACTTTTAATATAACAATATTGTCAGAACAGCTTTCACCGGTAAACAAAGCAAGTTAGCCTTAGGAGAGGCCTGCTTCCACCTCCCTCACAGAGCAGCTATCCATTACCCTGTATATTATTTTAATCTATTGTTCTGAGAAAGGGTTTTACAAAATTCTTTCTTTAGGAAGAATAATTATGAACCACTTTAAGGCTGCAGTCCCATGCGTTTATCTGAGTGTAAGCCCCATTGAACAAAATGGGGATTGCTTCTGAGCAAGTATGCATGGGATTGCACTGTGAGTCCATGGCGAGGATATGCCCAACAAATGCTACTTTCATATATAACCTACATGGTTTTCTTGGGATGCTGCTGAAATCAAACCAGGTCAAAGCCAAGTTAAGTTTGCATTGTTATATAAACTGTACCCTTAAACACTGAAGCAAAATAATGGGCAGAGGCCATCTCACCCATGAAGATGGTGTTGTAACTCTCTTGCATCACTTCCCTGTAGAGGTTTTCTTGATCAGGGCCCAGGAAATCCTGCTGGATCTGTACCAAACAGAAAACCCCACCCATTACTCACAAAAGGCCTCAGGCCTAGCAGCTGTATGCAGGAATTCCACCTCCCCACCCCAGCAGTTCAGGACAGCCCCAGGGGGTACATGCGGGTTCCCAGAGAGAAGTCACTTATTTACCTGAGCTGACTCCGCTTTGGCCATTTTTCCAGACGGGGCTGGCTTTTATACAGCGAATATCTGATGGAAGTTGAGAAGGAATAGTGCAAAGATTTCAGAAAAAGGCTTCTGTTTGGAGCCAAACTCTAGCCTATTTTCTGTAGGTCTCGTTTCTGCCCCACTGGATGGATAAGAACATGAAGGCCTTTACTCCACACCCTCTCTCTGAGGAATGAATCTATATTTGAATCCTCTGAGGTAAAGCAGTTTTTCCAGAGGGGGATCATCTTTCTCATTCAAAAGACCTACTGGCTCTCTCTTTCTTTAAATCCCTCCTCAAAACCCACCTCTTCCGCATGAAACACTTGGTTTAACCCTTTAGTCTTCATTTCCTCTTGAAACAAAGCCTGCATGTGTATAAATAAAAAACAAAGGAAGCTTTGTTGGTCCATCAAAGAAACAGCCTCCCAAATCCATAGACAAACTATGATCATTATGATTATATTATATTACACTGCATTACACTAATATGCTGTCCTTAGGCCTCCTCTTCATGTTATTTTCACAGCACCCAGAAAGGTAGGTGAGGGGGAGTCAGTGATTGGCCCAAAGTCACAGTGAGCTTCATGGCCCAGTGAAGATTAAAACTCTGACCTTCTAAATCCCAATCCAACACGCTAACCAATACACTGCACTGGCTCTCTTTCTGAGAAGCAAACATTCACCAGAACTCTTCATTTAGTTGAATGTTAAGCAAGGGGGGGGGGAATGATACCTTCTTGTTGGAGCCACAAAATCTCATGTAATCACAATGTAACAGTAAACTTGCAATGTAATCACATACATATCCACTCAAAAGTAAATCTTACTGGGGTTAATGGGACTTGCTTCAATTAGTGTATGTATACAACTGAACCTCTAATAGAACTAATCTAGTGTAGTGATTAGGCTGAGAGGAGGAACCCATGGCTTTCCAGATGTTATCTGATTACACCCCATCACCCAAACATTGACCTTGCTAGATGGAGTAGATGGGAACTAGAGTTCCACAACATCTGGAGGCTACAGCCAACTCACACCTGTGTCAAAAGTGTCAAACTAGAACTGGAAAAACCCCAGGTTTAAATCCTGCCAGTCAGCCATGAGTTTACAGAATGACCTTAGGTCGATGTCAGACACCTTAACTTAACCTACCTCACAGGATTACTGTGACACTCCTTAGGGGAATGATGAATACAAATACGATAGATACATGAACAATGCCTAAACAAGAGCCTTGTTTAGGCACTATGCAAGGTTCATTTGTAAATTTCACTTCACTCTGAGGTTTTTATTTTCAAATAAGGCAGCTCAGCTGTTACCTCTTTTTTTGCCCCAGCATTCCTAGGTGCAACCTGAAACGTGCAATACACCTAGCAGAGCCTAATCCAATTAAAACGGCTATCTCCATGGATACTCCATCTTAAAACTGTGACTAAATGCAACACTGTGGCTTCAACATCATCCCAGCTTCTTATTTCCCCCCACCCCTGGCTTTGCCTAACATCCAGTCTGATTAAAAGTTCTAGAGAACTCAAAAGCTATTGTTTTTGCAGTATTATTATTATTGTAATTATTTTGCAACTCTAGAGCTGACCTTGACAAAAATGTTTCCAAAAAACTGATTGTAGAATACGTGTAGATGTTTTGTGCTCTCCCTTTTCTACCCCTGCCCTCTTTTGTTGTCTCCTACCTTCATTGGGTCTAGATTTAGAGCTCTTTGGGAATAGAACCTGTATTTTGTTTCTATAGCTCTGCAGAACGCATGGATGCATAAAGACAGAAAACCAAGGATCACACAGTTACCAAGAAGGAGCCCTCACGGAACCTTCTCTTCACCACACCTCCCTCTCGGGCTCCAAAGCAAGGCTTTTTTTATTTGAATTAGGACGCTTCGTCTGGAACATTAGAAGAGTTCCTCTGAGCACGTGCAAAACAACCGCAGCACGCCCTCACAGACCAGGCTTTCTGGAGAGAATGGGGCAAAGTTTCAAGAGGCCAAGGCCTCCATCAAAGCATATTTGGAGCAAGAGATGGAAATAACAAAGTCCTTTTTCTGTATTTTTATGCCCTTCTCCACTAGATACCCCTCCGACTCACAACACGGGAGATTAAACGGTATGATTTTCAGGCAGCCTCTCTCCTTGCATGGCTCAACCACTGGCCTTGCGCCCCTAAAATATTAACTTGTAGAAATTAATGTCACATCCAAAATTGCAATGGATTATCCCCTGCCTTTCCCGCCCCTTTTCCAAAATCTCTTCCTTAAAAAAATAAAAATTATTCCTCCGCCAGACCGATGCTGTGGAGCTTTGCCCAGCCGGAGCCCCATTCAAAGATCCCTCCCGCCTCTCCGGTAGAAAGACCCCTTCCTTCTCCCCCCACCCCACTTACGACCCCCACTCCGTGACTCTCCACGCATTTTACCTGTGATCTCCAGTTCAAGAATTAATTGCAGCGGAGTCCAGTTCCAACCAGAGTCAGCCCCCCCACCTTTAAACCCCCCATCGCTGCAGGTCAAGACAAAGAAAGAGGCTCTCTCTCGTCTTCCCCTGTAAAAGATCACATAAAATAAAATAAACAATCCAGCGAGGAGGAGGAGCGACTGGACCCCAGATCACAATGGAGTCAGCAGTCTCTGACCCTAAAAGCCCCCCGCACGCAGACGGCGAGAAAAAAGACTAAAAGCGGCGGCGGCGGCGGCGGCGGCGGCGGCCCCTCCCTCGGAGATAACCAGAGACCTCTGGTGGCAAAAAATAATGAAACAACCTCTCAGCCCTAAGCACTTCCATGTGAAAAATGAGAAATGACATGCAACCTATGCGTCCTACGTGAGGAACACTTTCTTTCCCTTTTCTTCCCCACCCCCCTTTTTTGTACCATTTAGCCTGATGGTTGCACGTTATTGTGGAATTTTGGTCGCTGCTAATCAAAATGTTGCACTATCTTGATTTTTATTTTTTCATTATTGTTTTGATTCCAGTCACAAAGTGAAGGCATAATGCACCAGGATGCTGTGAACCCTTGTGCTTTCCCAGCACATGCACTCGGGCTGAGGGCTTCCAAAGGAGCAGCCATGACAGGACACAATCCTATGCATGATTAGATAGAAAAAAAGACTTACAACTCCCCACATGGCAGGCTTGGGAATGCTGGGAGTTGCAGGGATTTTTCCTGTTTAAATGTGCATAGGATTTAGTCTGTTGCAGCAAAATAACTAGAATCTTATGACACATTCAAGATTAATACATTTATTGGGGCATAAGCTCTTATGCGCTAGAGTACACTTCATCGAAGATGTGCACACAATTCAATTATTTATTTGCTCTATACCTTGTCTTTCCTCCAATAACATTAAGGAATTACATATGGCTGGCGCTCGCTCTCTCTCTCTCTCTCTCTCTCTCTCTCTCTCTCTCTCTCACACACACACACACACACACACACACACTTACTTTGTCATAACCACCCTTTTAAAAACTAAAAAAGTTGCCTATTAATTCCAACATGGAGCTATTTTCTATGTGGAATTTTTAAAAATGAAAATAAATGACTAGAGTTACAGAACACACCTATGTATGTATATTCAGAAGGTATCATCCACAAATGTGCGTATAGGGACACTGCTTTAGTTCATGGGCTTATTAACAATTTGTTGTTTACTTTACTGAGAAATAAAAAGACAGGTCCTTGCCACACAAATTTTACAATCTGAATTTTAATAATGGCAGAGATTCCACAGAAAGAAGAGCATGAAATTATGAATGTGACAGAAGATAGGTTGTCAGAAGATGTTTTATTTAGGCGTGAGGTCCAAGTTATTAAGGGAGTTAGACTCTGCCTGACAGCCATCAGAAACTTCAGAGCCCAGCCTCAACCTTGGAAATGAACTCTGAGGTCAGAATGGGGTCTCTGAATCCAGCAAACCTTCCCATTGCCTTCTAGCTAGCGCAGTCCTTTCCACGCTGGCTGCAGCTCCAGAGCTGCAAGTCCTGGGGAGGCGGGGTGGGCAAGGTGGCAGGGAGGGGAGGAGTGAGAGTCTCCTGGGATATGAGGGACCCCTCAGCCCCTCGTCCCTGTGAGCAGGGCGAAAACTATCTAAGTGTTCTGGATGATGAGGGAAGTGTGGAAGCAATCCTTGACTCCATGCTCCTCTTGCCTCCCTCTGCCTATCTGTAATCCTCTGAATTGGGAGGGTTATGAGCCGCCACCTTGGAAGGTTTTGCCCAGGTGCAATCCTATGCATGTTTAGGCAGAAAAACGTATTACAAGACCCAGCATTCCCTGTCATCCCTGTGTCCTCTGAGATAGTTCGAAGCACAAGGCAACACACGAGAGATGCTCGGTGCCTGCTCACAAGGCAGCAAGTCCCTCTGGTGCACGTCCCGTTCCTCCTCCTCTCCATCTGCTTGCTTGCCCGGACTGCAAGCAAAATCCAACAGGAAGGCTTAATCCTTAGTATGTGCAATAATTTTAAACAACAAACCCCCGCAACAGGAAACCCACAGGCATCATCATGTTAAAAGAAGTGCACATTTTAAAAGCCAGAATTGAGGAGATGAGTCAGGACAGATCTCTGCAATGCTGCCTCAGTAGGTGGCATGCCTTTCCTAAGGCTTAGTCCCTGATAATAAGGACTAAGAAATGCTGTCCTAAATCCCAACCAACCAGCTTTAAGGGATAACCCTGGGTTCTGGTATTTTACAAGTGAAGGGAAATTGTCTCCCTCTCCACTTTTTCCACACCATGCATAATTTGAACACATCATGCTTCCCCCTGCTTGCCTTTTTTCTAAGCTAAACAATCCCAGATGCTGTAACTGTTCCTCATAGGGGAATTGTTCCAGCTCTTTGATCATTTTAGTTACCCTTTTCTGCACTTTTTCCAGCTCTATGGTCCCTCAGGTACAGGGATCCTAACTACACACGATATTCCAATGAAGTCATAACAAACCTTTGCAGGGGGGTGGGTATGATTTTGGCAGTTACATTTTTATTTCCTTTATTAATTATGCCTAACATGGAGTTTGCCTATTT